CACCTCCCCTTCCTTGGCCTTCCTATTGTTTTAGTCACGTCTGGTGGCAAGACTTTTTCATTTAGAACTTCTGCAGGAATTTCCCATGTGCTTTCATCAGGAACCGGATAAATTGGAATTTCATAGGTCTTCAATAGGTACTTCGTGGTGTAGTACACCGAGCAATACTCAATGTGATCAATGTGTTTGTATTTTAATACTGCCCAACCATGTGAACATGGCAGCTCATCCAACTGAAACCTTCTACAGCTGCAAGTTCGATCTTTTAGGAACACCATTCTCTGCTTACCCTTGTCAAGTACTGAATATAAGTAACTCGTCGAAGGGGTTACCTACAAAATTTATCAACTATCATTAGTGGTGACAAAGCAGATGCCCTCAAAATACATATACTAGAGAGCCTACAAGATTCAAAATAGCTTAATATCATGTCAAACCAACCAATATTTCAGCAGTCGGGTAGGCATAAATGCTACATTAAATTGAAAGTCTTTGCTTTTGTGCAGGTGGACACTAGTTTAACAGAATCACACAAAGGGTTCAAGATATAACAGATCCATGAATTCGGCATGATTACATATTCTATGCACAAGTATCTACAGATTCCAGTCATACCTTCATCTGATGTGACACTTCAAGATTGTCCATCAACATTGTATCATATTTTTTTCCAAGATCAGTGAATGACTCTACTGCATTCTTTAGGTTTGTAACATTCCATCGTCCGATCAATTGCCTTATGTGGTCTAGCAAAGGCATTACTGGGAGTTCCCTAGCAGCCTTGAGCGCTGCATTGATTGACTGCGCAATGTTTGAAGTCAACGTCAATGTTTTGTTGACAGTGGAATGTGCTCTGGACCATCTTTCATAACCCCACATTCATTAAGTAATCTTTGACCCCCTTATCAATTTTCTCTACCTCTGCCATGTGGTAATCAAACTTCTCAACTGTGTATGCTTTGGCCATAGCAAAGAATATGTCTTTGAGCAGCAAATGGTTTTTTTTGTAATTTTTTTTACATTATTCCATAGATGCCATATGCAGACACAATGAGGTACTTGTGGATACAATGTTGCCGCTGCATTTTCAATGCCTTCATGCCTGTCAGAGACTATGCACATTCCCTCCCTTTCCCCAAATGCATCCTTGAATCTCGCAAAAAACCACTCCCAAGAAACATTATTCTCTGAATCTACTATGGCATATACGAGTGGTAGGATATTACCTGCTGGATCTTGTGTTGATGCTATCAATAATGTTCCTCTATATGTCGATTTAAGAAAGGTTCCATCTACAACAACAACCGGTTTGCAATATTGCCATCCTTTTATAGATGGATATAGTGCAACGAAAGAATACATGAACAAGTCTTCCTCTGTTTTTTTCAAACTTACCACCGACATAGGATTTGTAAGAACCAGCATATAAAAGTAGCTTGACAGCTTTTCATTTGATTCTTCGCTCGGGTTCCCTCTCAGTACATGAACTGCATATTCTTTCGATCTCCATGCTTGCATATATGTCATTTGAAGACCATACTGCTTGTTCATATCTCCAATTATGTCATTAGGAGTGTATATTATTTTTGGGTCTTTATACTTGTCTATCAGAAGACTGCCAATGAGATTTGCAGTAGCTTGACGTTGTGCGTAAGATTTGTCTTTCAGGGGGCATGAGTGCACTTTGCTGAAATTTCTGACCTTGAAAAGGTTTGCTTTTTTCAGGCTCGAAGACTTAAAATACCAATCACAGTTGTTGTTGATGCATACTAGGCAGTACCTACGACAAGGATATAAACTTTTCCATCAATAAATAGAGCGACATGAAATACAATGATATATAGTGATACACACTGCCATCAACAATACTAGATGAATAAATACAACGACTATACAGTACTAGAAGGCGACAACCACAACTTAAAAGTGTACAGCCACATACTTACAAGCAGCAACTTATTTTCTGCATAATTATGCTTCTAACATCAACTACGATATACATTGAGATACATAATTATACAATAAATATTTTGATACCTGCTTTCACTTGATCTACGCACCTTAAACTGAAATTTTTCCTTTACTGCCAAGTGCTTCATGACTTTGACTATCGTTGCCTTGTCTTTATAAATTTGACCTTCTTCTACATCTATGTATTGAGGGTCAGTTATTATTGTATTTCATCAGATTTTGTATCATTCCAGTCTTCTCCATCCCCAAACTCGATCATCTTAATTGTATCGCCATTGTATCTCTCCTCTACAACTGAGCTTTGTGCACATTATGAGGAAATCACAGCAGAATTGAAATTGTAGCAGATCATGTCGATATCCTTTTCACTCGATGTTATACAAATGGGATACATTGTAAATTGAGCTTTTTTTAGCTCAAGATATACACATACACTCGTACTATTGTGTATCACTATTGGCGGAGAACCGTTTTGGACAGTATATTTGATTTCAATAGCATTCAATGAAGTATCTATCATAAGTTGTTTCGAAATCACGTCTACAAAATCTTCAAAACTTATATTTGGAGTAACTATTACAGCATCTGCATTATAATCTACAAAGCCGTTGTCAACATTCTATCGGCCACCATACTGAATAAAAATTGGTAAATTTGCCATTGAAGTAGCTGAAATTAGGTCAAAACTCACTAATTCCTTGATTGATTTTGATTGCAGTTCGTAGTTCCTTCTACACAGAAATTGCAAAAGTTGTATCTACAAAGGAATTGCGAAGGTATATAGTGAAATTGATCGATTTTGAGTGAAATTTGGAGCTCCTTTGGATCTTTTGGAGAATTTTTGGGAGAGTATGCTATGATTTACAGAGGGAGAGAATACCGTGATCTGGTAAATTGATAGCTTGAAAAGGGGAAGGAAACATGATTCTCGGATGCGTGATTGTTGGAAGCGTGATTCTCCGATGTGTGGTAAATTGATACGCTTGTGTGTATCTCTAAATTTTGGGCTACTTTTGGTAAGTGTTTAATTTTGGGCTAGAGGTTGGTAAGTTTGTGTTTAAATTGGCTATTTCTGTACTTTATTCATGGTTAAGCCATTATATCGTAATTTTAAGTGTAGAAGTAGGGGTATACATGGATCGGATTGGTTCGGTTTTTATCAAAACCAAACCAACCAACTATATCGGTTTGGATTTATTTGGTTTTGTCGTATTTTTGGTAAATATATGTTTAGTAAAAATATAAAAAATTTACAAACATATTATCTATTAAAACATTCTTATGAGAGAATTTCTTAGTAACATATAATAGTTACTTTTTTAGTCGTCTGACAATAATGTTTCTTTGATGTACACTTTCAAGGTTAACCGAATTTAGTAATTTAACATAAAAATCAATATGATACCTGAATTATAATAACCACTTCACATTCGAAAAAGATATAACAACTTAGTAGATCTTAACATTGATATGAATATGGAAGAACAAAGATACTGACGCATTTCAGTAACACTTGATGAGAAAGTAATCATACAAACTATTATTTAAGGTTAATAAATATGAAGCACTTCATGTACTATTAAATATTATATCCCGCAAGATAATCCCAAATATTTCTAGATTTTTTTTAAAGAAAATTTTATACAAAATCTTAAAAGTATATATAAAAATTACTACTATTTATTTATATGTCGGTTTGATTTGTTTTTTTTTACTCAATACCAAACCTAGTCGGATTTTTTAATCGGTTTGGTTTGACTTTTCGGTTTGGTGCGATTTTCCGGTTCAGTTTGTACATCCATATGTAGAAGTACTACAAATAAACGCACATCCGTTGAAGTCTTTTTAATAAAAAATAAATATTGTATCGTGTAACCGATACAATATTTTATATTTGTAAGAGTTGTATCAGTGTGACTGAAAATTCACATGTCAATTAAAAGAATATTAAATGTTACTTAGTAAAGGCTGCTTTTTTAGTAGGTTATAGCAAAATTGGCGGTAAAACGTGTAGACCTGAGGGTTTGGCAAGAAAAATCGTAGGGCTAGGGGCAACAGGCCGGTAATGATCCTGTCTTGAGATAAGTTATACTACTCCCTCCGTTCATTTTTACTTGTCCTTGATTCTAAAAATATATCTGCAATTTTATTTGTCCACTTTCGCATATCACAAGGAAAATAATATAGTTGTTTTGCCCTTAGCATTAATTACTTAATCCAAATTATTTTTCAAATCCATTAATACTATACTCGAATTAATATGAGTATCATGGTAAATTATATACTTTATTTATTACGTTTTAAGAGGTGTGCAAAATCAATAGTGGACGAGTAAAAGTGAATGGATGAAGTAATCAAATATTAAGCAAAAAATCTAGTATTATAATCTCTGCATGGAATGAATAAATGCATAGCATAGATCTTCTATACAATATGTATATTTTCATCAGAATTTGTGATCGATGTTTCTTCTCGAATACAGTCAGATCTTTCTATAACAATATTATTATATAACAGTCATTCACTATAAAAGTCAAGTTTTTTAAGGAATAATTTTTATATTATATTATAATATATGTTCTTTATAACAACACTTAGCTATAACAATCAAAAAAAATTCGGAAATAAATGAGGTTGTTATAGATAGGTTTCGCTGACTCCAACAAAAAAAATACAAGAAATATCTCATCTTTAAAAACTAATACTGTCATTTAATCTTAGCTATTCAAGATGAGTTTAATGCGTCGTGTCAAATTAAAACTTAATAAAAAACGAGAATCGTTCATGCTACTTTTACATCACTCCATGTTAGCAGCCTATAAAAAGCAAGATAAAGCTACTTCTACCTAACATACCCTTATATACCTTCATTAATATTAGGCTTATTAGTCAAAAGATTAGGCAGATAGTTCATTAAGGGAATGGAACTGATGAAACTAGAAAAGGTTACTTTCACTCCCTATATATATATATATATATATATATATATATATATATATATATTGGACCAAGAACATGTGTAAATAAAATTCATATACTACCCCGATTTTTGCTAAAAAAAACAGACCGAACGCCTTCGAGTTATTAGCTCGTTGTTATTAGTTCAAGTAATGGACATGGCTTTATCTATGGATAAAATTGTTATATCCAATGAAGAGGAAAATTCAATGATGAAGGCTATGCATCTTCCTACTGGTTTATTCCTTAACATGGTTTTGAAAGCTGCCATTGAACTTGGCTTGTTTGAGATCATAGCAAAAGCAAATAGTGAATTATCTTCCTATGATATTGCATCTCAACTTCCCGCAAAAAACCCTAATGCCCCACTTATTCTTGAAAGGATTCTAAGGTTTCTTGCTAGCCAATCTTTTCTCACTTCCAACATTTCCAAGGATGATGATGGACACATTCACTCATCATACAATTTGACACCTTTGGGCAAAAGCTTCATCTCCGATAAAGACGGATCATCTTTTGCTCCTTTTTTACTACTGATGACTGATCCAGTAGCTGTTAATTCCTGGTACAGTTTCATATTTTCTCATATTTCGTTCTTTGAGTTTCACTTCTATATACTAACGTATAAGAATTTTGTACTATCAAGTCATATACTTGCTACAACAAGACAAAATATACTTATTGTCTAACATTTTTGTACGTTGTCAGTCTATTTAAGTTAAATCCTTGTTTCGTCATGTTAAAGGGAGCATTGGCGTAACTGGTAAAGTTGTTGCAATGTGACCAGGGTGGTCACGGGTTCGAGCCGTGGAAACAGCCTCTTGCAGAAATGCAGGGTAAGACTGCGTACAATAGACCCTTATGGTCCGACCCTTCCCCGGATCTCATGCATACTAGGAGATATTAGTGCATCGGGCTGCCCTTTTCCTTTTTTCGTCATGTGATTTGAAATCTATGTTGATTGGATATATTTTGACTTCTTGTTAAGGTTTCATTTGAAAGTTGCAATTCTAGAGGGTGAAATACCATTCAACAAGGCTCATGGAATGCATGCATTTGAATACCATGGAAAAGATAGTAGATTGAATATGGTGTTCAATAAAGCTATGCAAAACATCTCTTCCATTGAAATGAAGAGAATTCTTGAGTCTTACACTGGCTTCCAAGGGGTAAAAGAGGTAATAGATGTGGGAGGTGGACTTGGGGTATCATTAGCTTCTATAATTTCCAAGTATCCTAACATCAAAGGTATTAATTTTGACCTACCCCATGTCATCAAAGATGCTCCTATCTATGCAGGTAATTTATTTCCCTTAATTACTAATCATATTAATTGAATATATTTTTTTTAAAATTAAAGCTGTATTTAATTGATATTGAAAGATCAAATTAAGCTTCAATTCTTGCTTGTTATATTAGGCATAGAGCATGTTGGAGGAGATATGTTTAAGAGCATTCCTAAAGGGGAGGTAATCATTCTGAAGGTAAAGTATTCTTTGTCATATTTGTATGGATATTTAACTTATATACACCGGTATTGTAAAGATTATTTTATATTAGCTGTGTAGTTTAATCTTTGATAATAACTTATATTTGTCATTTTTACCAAGTTACTATTTAATACTTATCACAAAATTTCCTTGTAATTTTCTTATAAGTGACTTGTGTATATATTTTTTTATATCATCAGGTTAAGTCTTTTTGTGACAAACATGATCTAATAACCTAGAAAAATAAAGAAGAATTAACTTAAATAGCCGCCTACCTAAGCTCTTAAACTTAAAATAGCCAGCAAAGTATAATATATGTATAATCCATGTATATTATGCATATAATCGTATATAATTATTGTATAATTTACGCATACTGGCTAGAAAAAGTAGAAAGTAAATTTGATCGGCTATTAATGTAAAAGTCCCGAAAATAAATAGAAGCAAATTATAAAATTATATCGATAGTGATTTTTTTTTTACACTGTCAATGTATATGTTGTAGGCGATACTTCATGATTGGGATGATGATCATTGCCTGAAAATATTGAAGAATTGTTGGGAAGCTTTGCCAGAAAATGGGAAGGTTGTGGTAATAGAACAAATACAGCCAGAATATCCAGAGAATAATCTTCTTTCTAAGCATTCATTTAGTACTGATATGTTAATGATTACTATGCTTAATGGAGCGAAGGAAAGAACAAAGCAAGAATTTGAAGCTTTAGCAAAGGAAGCTGGATTTTCTTCTCCCAAAATTGCATGTCGTGCATATTATTGTTGGGTCATGGAATTGTACAAATGTTAGCTATTATATTTAGTAATTGCTTTAAAATTTCTGTTGTAATTAATAAGTCATGATACAACAAAACGTTGGTTTATGTATTTGCTTGTAGTATTATCCAAATATTTGGTTGATATTTGATGTTAAAAGTGTAACATGTTTTTCCATGAAGTTCCTAATTGAATAAAGGGAATCCTAATATCTTGGATTTGTTTTTTTCTTTTAATTATCTGTAATCTGGAAAATACTTTTGTTGGTTGGAGAGTTAATATATATATATATATATATATATATATGTTGGTGAAATTACAAGTAATTACAGTTGAAAAATAAGATGAATAAAAATAAATAAATATTATTCAAGCTGAGGCGCGGATATCTCGCTCTCTTTAAGGAGATTCAAGCCCACTGCGGTAGCATCTTCACCGGTCCAGCAGTAATACTCTTGACTTGTCCCCTCCAGGATACAACAACCCGAGAATGTCGTATGACTCGAACAACTCTGGACAAGTTGTTGAGTCCAAAGCTCCACCAAAAAGAACACCTTCCTTCAACAAAAATAATATTCTCTTTTGTAGAGATTAAGTTGGAGACTTAGGTTTTCTCCTTCTCATAACTCTCTTTTTCACTACACCAAGTTTACTTTTTTCATACAGACTACCATATTTTTCCCACACCAAGCACAAGGAAGAAACACCACTATTTATAGGTGTAGAATCTCTTCCATAAAATAAATAATAAGATAGTGGGATAATAAAATAGTAGAACATTGGTTGGTGGTTACAAAATATAATCTTTAGTGGGTAATTAGTGGTAGATCATGGCATTAGTGGTTTCATGAGTTACACCAAAATAATGACCACTTTCTTGCCAATTTATAACCGCTATCTCACAAGAAATAATGCACTTTAATATTATAATTTTAATATTAAAATGCACTAACACCAACATTATATATATATATATATATAATACTACTTTATTAAAGATTGATAATTTTGTTTATTATACATTGGTGAAAGTTCAGGTAGTCAACTAACCAAGGATTACTTAAGAGACCGTTTGGCCATGCATTTTTTTTTATATTTTTCGAAAAGTTTTCACTTTTTTTTTTTTTTGGAAATCAGTGTTTGGCCATAAAATTTTTAATTTTCACTTGAAGATGCATTTTGGAATTTTTCGAAAATTTTAAAAACTCCAAAAGGCAGTTTTTCAAAAATTTCACTCAAATCACTCACAAAAATTCAAAAACAACCCAAAATAATACTCATGTCCCAACACAACTCTAATTTTCAAATACCATTTTCCCTTAAAAATAATTTTACTTTTTTCCGAAATTTTATACTCAATTCTTATGTCCAAACGTCCACTAAGACTCCCCCTTAAAGATCGATAATAACTTTAGCGTACTGAATAGATTTTTGATGAAATCTTTTAGTATAAAAATTTGATAATAATCTCTAGATGTTGGTTAAAGTAAATGATACGAAGTTAGAAGTTGAGATAATTGAGAAGGAAAATGACTTCCGCCCAAAAGTGAGAAAAGTATTTCCCCCTTTTCACTAAAAACTGGTTTTAGTGTACGTGCGTTGCACGTGTATTTCGCGTCAATCAGTATAAAATATATACAAGAAAAATAGATTATTGTATACATATTGAAACAATATCTTCTTAGCATACAAAGATGATGAATTTAGTTGAGTTATTTATATAATATTTATAATTATAATATCTTGTGAAATAAGATATAAATATGTCATGTTGTTGTATCTCGTCAAACATCTCTTTGGAATACAAGTAATATAAATTTCGACTATCAGTTAGACCAATGACACTATTATATTACCTCACAATTTGTCAAAATGGTTATTTCATCAAAATGTTATAAACTTAACTATTGGATATAAATAATTTACCTGATTATATATCTGGTAGATGCGTCGCTATATCCCCAAATATATATTTCTTCAAATTCTAATATACTATATAATACACTTTTTCATAAAACTCCAGTCACTTAATTAGGCCAGTCTTTAGGAAGTTGTTCTTTAAATAAATTTTCTTAGATCTTCATCCAATGATATTAATTAAATAGTTAGTATTATTTTTCTTTAAATGTTAACAGCTTGAACAATTAAATAATAACTTAAATTTTTGTAAAGGAGATCTAGTACATTCCTAAGATCACCCTACAAGGAAATAATAATAGTTTTTATTAATTATCAAATAAAGAATACAAAAAATAGTGAAGCTTTATAATTAATGGCAACTTTTTCACAATTAATTTATCATCAAGATTCTAGCATCAATATTTTATATAGAAAAGTGAAGGTAAGTTACTTTTATGACAAAACTGATTATAAATTTAAAAACTTGCTCAACATAAAAAATACGTAGAATATGGTAAGAATTATATATTTAAAGATCAATTTTTCTAATTTAGAGGAAGGTTTAGTAAACAATATTTATTATGACCGTACATTACTAGTAAGCATAATCAGTTTTCCATTTCCATGAAGAATAATAAATAAAATATGATTTAATTTGTCAAGATTCTAAAACAAATATTTTAAGTAGGAAATAAATTAAAGCTATTTTTTATATAACAAAGAGATTAAAAGTTTTAAAATATGTTCTATTTTTTTCCTCGGATTAAGTCTTACCCCCCCCCCCCCCCTTTCCCTTGTTATCTATATATCTATTTTTTACATGGTGATAAAATTTATTTTTTGTAACCAATGTAATATTCGTTCATATAAACGCAGAACCTTTCCAACTTTTTTTTTTGGTAAATAGAATTTTTTACAAAGCAAGTAGATGCTGACCATCCACACTCTTGTTTACATCAGTCCTGTAGTCTAAGTAAAACAAGTACTTTGACTAAGTACCCAAAATCAAAAAAAATAGACTCCTATACATAGTAAGAGAGACATTCGCCTAAGGATAACAATTAAGCTTTTCGAGTGCTTCTTGCCAATGCTGTATTAATCGGCCTCTCGTGTGTATATGGATTGCTATTTCCTTGCAGATGCTGCTAACAGTAGTTATCCCACCCTGGAATCCGAGTTTGTTCCTTGCTCTCCATATGGTATAGATCATCATACCAAAGACGCAAGTAACAATTGCCCAATGTCCATTCTTCTTTATAGCATACTGACTTATCCATGCCACTTCACTCTGCCAATCTCGTATAGTTCTATTATGTCCAAGCCATTTTTCAGTAGTCTCGACCATACTTCTTTAGTCATAGTGCATTCAAAGAAGATATGATCAAAGACTTCGTCCGCTCGCTTACAGAAGATGCATTGTTGGGGAATATGAACACCAAACTTCCAAAGTCTATCAACTGTAGCTAGTCTCCTTTGCAATGCTAACCAAAGAATAAACCTGAATTTGGGATGTAGATTTGGTTGCAAAACAATACCTTTCCAAGGAACTTTTGGGAGCTGGGGGAATTGCAGTCTATACAGCTTCTTGATACTAAAAGAGTTACCCTTCTGTAGTTGACCTAGTCTGCTCATAAGATCACCCTGCAGACCTTGAACTTCTCCAATGAACTTCCTTGTTTCCAGTATTTTACGAACCACCCAAGCTGCATTCTTGGGTATTGGCATGTGCTCCAACATGTTCTGTTTAATGTAGAAGCTATGAATCCACCTAATCCATAAACATTCCTTCTTTTTTGCCGCTGCCCACAAGTGCTTTGCTACTACAGCTTTGTTCCAATAAACCATGTTCATTACATTTAGACCTCCTACAACCTGTGGTAGGCAAACTTTCTCCCATGAGACCAGTGCCTTTTTAGAAACACTTGATGTACCTGTCCACAGGAAAGATCTGCAAATAGCCTCCACCATCTTCATTACTTTTTTTGGTAGAAGAAAGATCTGTGCCCAGTATGATTGAATCCCAAACAGAACTGATTTGATCAGTTGTACACGCCATGCATATGAAAGTAGACTTGCTGTCCAACAGTTAATTTTCTGTGTGATCTTCTCTACTAAAGGCCAGCACTGAATAATGGAAAGCTTCTTGGATGCCAAAGGAACCCCCAAGTACTTGAAAGGCAAAGTACCTTCAGGATACCCCAACTCTTGCAAAATATCCTGCCTCTGTGCATTTGAAATACCAGCTAAATAGACAGAACTCTTCTCTGCATTTGCTTGAAGACCAGAAGCCTCATAGAACTTGAGGAAAGTCTGCTTTACCAGTCTAATAGACTGAATATCAGCCTTACAGAACATAAGCAAGTCGTCTGCAAAACAGATATGCACCACTAACAAGCTTTTTACACCTGGGATGAAACTTGAATTCTTTATTTTTCATCAGTTGTGCAAACTCCCTCTGCAAATATTCCATAGCCAGGACAAAAAGATAGGGCGACATTGGGTCCCTTGCCTTATCCCCCTTCTTCCTTTAAAAGGTTTTGTTAGACCACCATTTATATTAAGAGAGTATGACATTGATGAAATACACTCCATAATCCAGTTTTTGAACTTATGAGGAAAGACCAGCTCTAACGAAATTCTTTCCAGAAAGCACCACCCTAAGGTGTCATACGCTTTCCTCAAGTCCACTTTTAGCACACATCTTGGGGAGATTCCTTTCCTATTGTAGCCTTTGAACAATTCATGTGTGAAGAGGATGTTATCAGTGATACTACGACCCTCAATGAATGTTGATTGTGACTCCCCTACTAGCCCTCCGATGACCTTGTTAATTCGAGCAGTTATAGCCTTTGTGATTATCTTGTACAAAGTAGTGCAACATGCTATGGGTCTGTAGTCTTTGACATGGCTTGGATTCTGCACTTTAGGAATTAAGGTCACAGCAGTGCTACTAACTCCTCGATGCATTTTCCCAATTGCAAAAAACTATTTTGTGGCTTCACAAATGTCATTCCCCACCTCCTGCCAATGCTTAGTGAAAACTCGATTGGAAAACCATCTACCCCTGGGGCCTTTTCATGTGGCATATCTTTAATTGCATTTAGAATCTCCACCCTTGTAACTTCTTGAACCAATTCTTCTTTCTGTTGGAGTGTATGGCATGGCCCTTGGTGTATGACTTCTACATTTGGACATCTGTGAACATTTCCACCTCTCCCCATGAGTTCAGTAAAGAAAGAGATGAACATTTCCACAATGGAGTAAAGCTGACTTATACTGAGGCAATGAAATTATTGCTTGTCCTTAATTTTCATTGTGCATGGAAATATTTTGAATTTGAATCACCACAAGCAATCCAATTTGCTCTAGATTTTTGCTTAAGAACTTGTTCTTCAACATTACTCCATTTCTCAGTTTCTGCCAATGTCAACCTCTCTTGATCAATCAAGTTCTGGTCCAAAGGATGAGCCATAAGTTGATTCTGGATTATTTCTAGCTTGTGTCTTGCCTGGTTCAACTGGTACTTGTAAGAAGCCATGTAAGTATTCAAGTCTTTTAGATCCACCTTCAACATTTTTAACTTCAGCCAGATTCTCTGCATAGGCTCAACCTTTACATCCTGCTTCCATACCCTTTCAACTATCCCTTTGAATTCTAAGTGCTCCATAACTGATCCATATAGCTTGAAGGGCTTGGGGTGTATTCCCCTCTGCTGATTACTTTGATTACACTGGATTAATATAGGAGAATGATCAGATACCTCCGGATTCAAAACCTCTGCTTCAATATGGTTGTATTGTTGTAGCCATTCAAAATTTCCAAAGGCCCAATCAATCCTGCTATACACTCTTTTATCAGGTTCCTGTTTGTTACACCAAGTATAGTGCCACCCTAAGCTCTTCACCTGAGAAAGCTGTAGAGTATTAATCATATCCTGAAAGACCTGGGTCTCAGCTTGCGTAACTGGTGTTCCTATCCTGTCATCAGTATGAAGTACATTATTGAAATCCCCACTAAGCAACCAGCAGACCTGGATATTACTCCCTATCTGAATAAGCTTTCTCCACAGTTGGTTCCTTTGGGTACTATCATTGCTTGCATAGACTACAGTTACCATAGCCTTAAATTTGGAATTATTCTCATGAATTTCACAATGTATAAACTGATCATCAATCACTAAAATCTGGACATTTACATTATTCTTCCATAGCAACCAAATCCTACCATTTGGATGTGCATTATAGTTGCAACATGCACTCCAGTCCCTTGCCACTTGATTCATAATTCTAGCAGCCTTTCTCTCTTTGACTCTTATTTCCAAGCACCCAATAACATCTACCTTATACTTCCTCAGAAAGAGCCTAAACTCTTTCTGTTTATGGGGCTTATTTAGTCCCCTTACATTCCAAGTACATAGATTCATTTTTGGGTGAAGCTGGAAGGGCCAGCGTCCCTTTGTATTGTGTCAGTGTCAACCATCTACAGTATTCCAAATCTGTTACTAGAGCTGATTGATGCAACTGGAGCTTGTTGGACAGCCTTGCCCTTACCAATTGTTCTAGTATTTTGATCATTCTGCCCTGATTTCTCAGATTTGTCATTAGCCATTTGAGTACAGCCTTCTGGCATAGACTGTTTTATCACTCCTGTTTGCATCCCTTCTGTCTGTTTTCCCAATTCTCTTTGACCTCCTAATTGACCAGTTTCATTTCCCCTATGCTCCTTTGGTAGCCATTGTAGATTAGTTTTGTTCTTATTCCTTTTCCGTTTTGGTTGCTCTTTGAATTCCTTCTCCTTTTCCAGCTTTTCTTTCATCCAACATTCATTTGAATTATGTCCAAATCTGATACAGTCACAACAATATTTAGGTTTCCAATCATGTTCAATTTGCTGGTTGATTATCCCTCGTGGCGTTTGCATTTCAAAACTATCTGGGAGAGGATGTGAAACATCAGCTTCAACAAGCACTCTTGCATATGATACCTTCTCCATTTCAGCAGTAATTCTATCTGTGTATAGAGGCTTCCCAACAACACTAGCTAGCTTGCTCAATACTTCTATGGAACAAAACCCCAATGGAAGTCCCGAAAATTTGATCCACAAAGGAATAACACTCATACACCCAGGGTCAAACTTGAAATCCATACTCCAATGTTGCAGAATCAGAGGTTTATTATGGTAAGTATAGGGTCCTGCTTGTAAAACCAAATCCCTTTCCTCAGTGTTTTGGAACCTAAAGATATAGTAGTCTTCATCATGATAAAGTATTTGGGGTTTTTCAACAAAATTCCAAACATTGGTAATGTAATTATCCATGGATTTCTCATAAGGATTATCACCCAACACGTACTCAATCAGTGCTGTACTCCAGTAAATTTCCCGTTCCCTTGTATCCTCTGCATTAATTTGCACAATGAATGTACCATCACGTATAGCAGGGGGGACATAATTCAATGTCTTACCCATTTGTGAGCTTCAATTCTTCTGCACTGTAGGTACTTCTTCATTATTTCCAATTTTCTCTGAAGGTGCTGTTGCTGAAGGAATTTGTACAGTTTTCTGCTGTTGAAAATTGCAGTCGTCGATGAATTGTCTCCCTATTTTCCTTCACTGCAGATTGTTCCCCTTCACACTCAATTTCCTCCATAATTGGTTGGAATTTTTGTGGTAGAAAACTCCCAAACGTCAGTGGTATCAATTTCTGTTGAATTCCGGTGTCCGGCGTAACTGTCGTTCCATCAATTTCCACGCCTTGAGCTGGATTGTGAAAGACTGTTGGTGCACTTCCCATACCCGTTAGCCAACGCCTAGGTTGAGATTGAGCTGGTGTTTCCATGTTTCCTTCATTTTCCTTTACTACCGTCGGTGATGGAAGCTTCTTCCTTTGTCTAGCCATGGCAGAAGCGTACGTTAGCTAAACCTTGCTAAACGTGCGCCTCTCTCTCCCTACACCCTAAACCTTGGGCGCTGCTTTGCTATGCGCCATTCCACCTTTCCAACTTTGTACCAAATTAAAAGACAACAGAAGCAATTATCTTGTCTTAAAAGATATGGCATTGGTAAATAGAATATGGTTATATGGCATTGATAAATAGAATATGGTAGTTGAATGTATTTTCGTTGGACAATTAAATCAACGTATAATGGTTGATTTTAAATTTTTAATAGTTTTAGTTAATTTAAAGGTCCTAAATCTTAGGGAGATAATTAAATAACTTTTTTGTCTGATGTGAGCTCTAATTATAAAAGAGTAAAAAAGACGAACACATTTCGCTAAGGGCCTTTAAGCTTTTAATGTAGTATAGATTTTTAGTGTAAGATTTACATACAGTAAACTCTTAATATTTTTAAAGGTTTGGACTTTTTACCTGATTTAAATAAGAAAAATTTTATTTAATTTTAAACTCTTAAACATAGATTTGTATAAAGTAAACTCTTAACAGTTTTAAAGTTTTAAATGGTAGGGCTTTCTTCATAATTCAATAAGAAAGATTTTAATGCGTAAAATTTTAATTATTTTAAACTATTAAATATTTAAAAAATTAACTAATTGACTATTCGACAAAATTATTCTTATAGCACTTGACACATATTCGAAGAACTGCAGTTTTTCTTTATTTATAAATGAGACAAAAAATCATTAGTAGTATTATTCCATTGGTAGTAGTATTTTAGTGGTACTTTAGAAGTAAGAAATTATATAATAGGTAATGTATCTCTTGTTAATGATTGGATAGGGAAAAAACTTGGTAGAAGTATGATTGTTGGTGAGTTTTTTTTTTTTTTTTTTAAGTGATTGATATAAGGCAAAAGGTTAATTGATTTTAAAATCTAAATATTAGGATTTTCTACCTAGTTTATCTAAGGAAAGATTTAATACATAAAATATAGTAATTAACTTTAATTTCAAGTCCTAAATATTAAGAAAATGGTTTAAATGACTATTTTGTCTAATTTAAAATTAATTCTTAAAGAGTAAAAAAGGCGAACGACATTTCGCTAAGGGCCTTCGTGCTTTTAATATAACTAGTTTTAGTGTACGTGCGTTGCACGTGTGTTTCAGGTCAATCAATATAAAATATATACAAGAAAAATAAATTATTGCATATATTGAAACAATATCTTCTTAACATACAAAGATGATGAATTTAGTTGAATTAGTTATATAATAATTGTAATTATATTATCTTGTTAAGTAAGATAAAAATATGTTATATTGTTGTATCTCGCCTAACATAAATAAAAATAAAAATAAAAAGGTTTTAAAAATATTGATATTGATAGATTCTTTAAATTTACATATCTAAAGACTACTTTAAAAGTACTATAGTCACATTATTTAAAAAACTAAATATTTAGAAGGCATATAAAAATTACGACAAAAAGAAAAACTCGTTTAACTATCAAAATTCGAATACTGTCATATAAATAAGGGCAGATGGACTATGTATTATGTTTTACAGCTTGTTTGGATGGTCGTTACCTATTGTATCGTATCGTATTGTTACTTTAAATATGATGTTTATTTTGGTTGTTACTTAAATTTTATTGTATTGTATCGTTAAATCCATCGTTACGTAACGACGGAATGTGCCACTTTATATAACGACTGATTTAGTATGGTTGCGTCATTATCTTGTCTTTTTCTCTCATCTTACCCTTTACTATTATTAAATTATTTAATTTTATCATTTACCCTACCTTTTTATATAGTAAATTTATCCCGTATCATAATCTTTCTTTATAATATTGTAAATTTATTATTCATATTGCTGGTGCATGATATCATGAAACAGCGGCAAACGATAGAATCTATCCAAACATTGTATTCATCAAACGATACAGTACAATACAATACAATACGATACGATACATTATGAAACGATGTGTAATAACCATCCAAACAAGCTGTTAAAGAAATAGTACATGATTGAAGGATAAGAGGATCTGTCAACGCTAAAGGATATGTTCATCCATAAATAATTGCATGAGTTATAATATTCTTTGTTTTAGTGATAAATTAACGTTAAATATAATTTTATAAAAAAGTAAGGACGATTCATTTCTTACATCAAATTAACATGAACCTTGACACTTTTTAAGAAGAAATTAGGTTGTATTCAAAGAAAAAATTATAACATGAAATCTAGTCTTAGTGTACGTGCGATGCACGTATGTTCTGTGTCTATAATTAATAAGTGTACATAATGTAGAATAAGAATGAATTTGAGATAACAATTGACGTCAAGATAGATGCAATAATTATTGGTATTGTAATAACGGATAGACGCTGACAGTACTCTATAAAATAACATACAATCTTCAATTCCCGTGAATTAAAAAATATGGTGAACTACAAAAGAACGACAGTATTTTAATATAAAAATGGAAGCTCAAAATCAAATTTAAAGTGAGTGGCAATTAAATTTAGAGGCTTGAACATATTTATCTTAGTCCTAAACTTGTACATATTTTACTATAGTTATTTGCGACGGAAAGATGTTGTTATACTGATATTAGAGAACCAATTTAACCTTATTTAAATTAAATAAGAGATCGGTCACTTTAAATTTTATAAATTGTTAAAACTTTATAATTAATTAAAGAAACTCTGTTTCCTTATGTCATTATTACGTTACAAAACAATAAATTAGAATCCATCGAATTTTCCTATTTTAACATATAATTAACGCATGTAATTTTTTTTAGTTTCACGTTCTCAATTTCTTTTTTTGCAAGAGTAAAAAAAATCTTTTAATTGATTTTGAAGGTCTAAACCTAATGCCAATAAGAAAAGTTTTAATAAACAAAATTTTATCCGATTTTAAGTCCTAAATATTAGGAAAATTACTAAATAACAATGTTGTCCAATGTAAAATTTATTTTTAAGAGGTAAAAAAGGTGAACTGCTTTTTATATTTGACTGTAACGTGGAAGGAATTACAATAATATTATATTGTTCAAAGATAACAATAAATTTATGTAAAATAATTATAATTTAATTGATTTTAATTACCAAATGTTAGGAGAAGAATCAATATTCGCGATTTTAAGTCCTAAGTATTAGAAAAATTACTAAATGACAATGTTGTCCATTGCAAAATTTACTTTTAAGGGGTAAAAAAGGCGAATCATATTTCGTTAAGAATCTTCGTACTTTTAATATTTGACTGTAACGTGGAAGGAATTACAATAACATTATATTGTTCAAAGAGAACAATAATTTATATAAAATAATTATAATTTAATTGATTTTAATTACCAAATATTAGGAGAAGAATCAGTATTTTGTTGGACATATATGTGGCTAGAGTGGAGCTCTTTTTAAAAATTAGCGACAATGATTTTGGATTTTGTTTTTTCTTTCAAACATGGAGAATTCTCTTTTGACCCAAAATCTCAAACAGTATAATCTTTTATTGTTAAACGAAAATTAAATCGGATGGGAGAAAAGAAAAGGAAAAGAAGGTAGCCTCAAAGATTTTGAAAGAAACTGCTAAATAAGAAAGAAAACCTGCAGATTAGTCATAGAAATTCATATTGATACTACATTAGTCTTTAAATATTTCTTTAAACGTGTAACCTCTTTCAATCCAAAATCAGCTTAATATTTTATTCCTTGAAAAGTTGAATTGGATGAGAAAAGAAAAGACTTTAACGGAGAATAATTCTTCCAAAACCCATATATCGGAAAAAAGTTTAAAGAATTCACCTGCTAAGGAGCAATACATATATCGTTGGCAAAGTGCAATAGATTAGCAAGCCTTTTTATACTATTAGATCAAATAATATGGAAGGAATAAAAATTATATTACATAAGTCAAATAAGGAAAGAATTTATGTAAAGAAAATCATAGTTGATTTTGAATTCCTAAAATATTTAGATTTCCTACATAGTTTAAATAAGGAAAGCTTAATAATTAATATTTTAGTTGATTTTAAACTAATAATTAACTCACAAATTATCCAATGTGAAGGCTATTTTTAATGGACAAAAAAGGCGAACGACATTTTGCTAAGGCCTTCGTGCTTTTAATATAAATATAAATATAAATAGATAATTGGAAACAATTTGATTACCTCTTGAAAAATACATTTCTCTTTTGTTTAACTTAGACTTAGATTTTAAGAATTGAAGACAATTTGATTATTTCTTAAAATAGTTTTTTTTTCTCATTTATTTATCGTAAGATTTTAGGAATGTATTTTTCACCTTCTTTTATTTATGTTACAAAATTTAGGAATGTTATATTTTTCTTTCTAACACTTACATCAATTATTTTACTCTTCATAAGTTTATGTAGTTACAATTAGTTTATTTCTTTGTTATTTAAATTAGGAATTACTAAACACTTTGAAAATAATTTTGTTACTTCTTGAAAAATAGTCTTTTTTTATTTGTGTTGTGATACTTTTTTATTTTCCCTAATAAATTATTTTGACTTTTTTGACAAAAAAAAAGAAGGAATAGGACATATTTCAAAGAAATAAATTTAGCAACAAAATTTTATAGGAGAATCCTTTGGTGCGTTTAGACGTCATAAAGAGGAAAGTTTTCAAAATTTCTTTTTTTAGTTTTATTTGGTAAGCAATGTCTTCGGGAAAAAAATTCTCACTATCAAAGTAGATAAGTTTCCTTCTAAAGGATTTGAAGGAATTATAGGCGGAAAGTACTAAATATTAGGCAAGTAATTAAACGATTATTCCTAAATATTAGGAAATTAATTTAATAATTATTTCTAAATATTATGAATATATTAAAATGACTATTTTGTCTAGCGTGACTTCATTTTTAAAGGGTAAAAAAGGCGAACGACATTTCGCTAAGGGCCTTCGTGCTTTTAATATAATATAGATAATATAGATATAAATATTTTATATTAATAACCAAACACATAAAATAACTTCTTTTTTTTCGTCATACCAAACACACCAAGATGAAAATAAATTTGGGAAAAATCAAGATCATACCAAGAATTAATATATACTTGGTCGGTCGCCAATAGTAATCAAACTCTATAATATGTGATTACATCCTTGATAATGTTTGCATGATTTGGCTTCAAGAAATCTTTAGAATGCTTTCAAGCACAAGTAGGGCTTTAGATTCTTTTTTCTTTATTTTTTTATTTTTTTGGGATCAAACTAAAGTGACTGAAAATTAAGATATGATTCATCCAATATATAGAGAGTTCAAGTAGTGGATTATTTTAATTCAATTCCTTTCCCCTAATATGGACTACTAAACTTGTAGCTTATTTAAGGTTTAATTTACTGCTCGTACGTCCACTTGTTAGAATCAAAAATGTTTTTGTCGTGTGGAAAATATTCCGGTTAGTATAAGTGAAAATATTTGTAGTAAAATAGTAATTTTTTGTATTAAAGATTAATAATAATGTGTAAGTTTCAATTGGAGCAAATAATATAAAGTTAAAAATTAAAATAGTTTTAATAAAAATAATTTTGGGCCTTTTCGATAACGGTAACCGAATATCAGAAAATTAACAAAATGACATCTCGAAAAATAGCTTTCATCGTATCAAATACATCAATAAAATGAAAACAGTGTTTACAAATAGTGCAGCGATGGAGGTTTGTCTGAATCTATAACCGTGTACTTACATAAAAATAATTTTTTTTATACATATGACAAATCTTTGAAGGTAGTCGAGGGTCTATCGAAAACAACCTCTCTACCCTTCCAGGGGCAGGGGTAAGGCTGCGTACATCTTACTCCCCAGACCCCACTCGTAGGAAACTACTGAATTTGTTGTTGTTGTTGTATATGAGTTGTTGTTGTTGTTGTATATGACAAATCTTTGAATGTCCTTAAAATATTTAAAACGTTTAGTATAATGGTAAAAGTGGTTCAAAAATACCAAATATAATATTTTCTGCATTTTCTTGAATTTCTTTATTACTACTACTATTTATGACTCCGCTGTCCCGTGAATGCCTAGCCTTACCCATAAACCTACACCATTTTTACCAAACTCTTTAGCCTTGCCTTCCCTACCATTTCCCCGCACCCTATTCTTCAACTTTAAATCGTTACTACTTAAGTTGTCATCTTCTTTCCAAATTTACTATAGCATAAATAACGAAAAGTTACCCAACTAACCAAGTCATGATTTGTAATACATTTAAGAGCTTAAGTTGTATGCACTGATTCTAAAAATAAAAAAAAAATTGCACTATTAAGTTACTTATAAAGTAATACAGACAAATTACTATGATAAGAATTATAACTATAACAACAATAACTACAAACTTAATGTCCCATAAGTGGAGTCTGAGAAAGATAATATGTACGCGTACCTTGCTTCTACCTTTAGAAGGTAGAGATCATGTTTCCGATAGAACCTCGGCTCAAGAAAAGATGAAAAAGAAGTAGTAATAACAAGTAGTAATACCAACAAAATACATAATAACCGAAGCGAAAGAATCGACAAATAGTGATAGACAATAACATGTAACCCGATAAAAATAATAATTAACTAAGTTGTTATAATATGTTAAACAACTCTGATAGTGATTAATTGTGTAAAATTTTCATTTCTCTGTCAGAAGTTTAAGATAGATTTTTATTTCTGTCACATGTATTACTTGTCTAAGTAAAACTTCAAGTATCATAGGCGTTTGATGGTTGGTGATTCTCTTCACTACTTAGCGTTACAAACAAGATTTCAGCTTTCCTTGTATAACCTCAGCACACCGTACTGAAGGTGAGGTGCCATGGTGTATGTTATTCGTTGATGATATAGTTCTGATTGATGAGACGCGATGTGGCGTTAACGAGAGGCTGGAGGTTTGGAGATAGACCCTTGAGTCTAAGGGTTTCAAGTTGAGCAGGGCTAAGACAGAATACTTGGAGTGCAAGTTTAGCGCCGGTTCAAGGGAAGCGGGCATGGACGTGAGGCTTGAATAACAGATCATCCCCAAGACAGGCAGTTTCAAGTACCTTGGGTCGGTTATCCAGGGGGATGGGGAGATCGACGAGGATATCGCACACCGTATAGAGGTGGGGTGGAAGAAATGGATGTTTGCATCTGGAGTCCAGTGTGACAAGAAAGTGTCATTGATGCTCAATATAAAGCGGTGGTTAGACCAGCCATGCTGTAAGGGCAGGGTGTTGGCCAGTTAAGAACTCACATATTCAGAAGATGAAAGTAGTAGAAATGAGGATGTTGTGGTGGATGTACGGGCATACTAGGATGGATAAGATTAGGAATGAAGATATTCGGGAGAAGGTGGGCGTGGCTCCTTTGGATGACAAGGTGCGGAAAGCAAGGCTCAGATAGTTCAGGCACGTGCAGAGGAGAAGCCCGAATGCCTGGTAAGGAGGTGTGAGCGGTTGGCTTTGGCGAGTACGAGGAGAGGTAGAGGGAGGCCTAAGAAGTATTGGGGAGAGGTGATCAGACAGGACATGTCGTGGCTTTAGATTTTCGAGGACATGGCTCTTGATAGGAAGGTGCGGAAGTCGAGCATCAAGGTTGTACGATAGGAGGTAGTTGAGCATTTTTCTACTACGTACCAGGTGTGAGGATAGTCTGATTGGGTTGTGTCTTAGACTGTTAGTGGTTAATGTTGTGTTCACACTATTCTTTCATTTTTCATAGTACCGGGCCTTATTTACTTGTCATTATTACTGTTTTTCATCTATTTTTTTGGTCCTTATGATGCTGTTATTATCTGTATGATTTCTGTTGATTGATACTGAGTTATTGCCTCTTTTCGTCTTCTTGAGTCGATGGTCTATCGGAAATAGTCTATCTACTCCCTTGGGGTAGCGGTAAGGTCTGTACACATTACCCTCCCCAGACCCCACATGTGAAATTTTACTGGGTTGTTGTTGTTGTATAACTTCAGCACGCCTTTCTCTGTTGTTGAAATTCCAGTTGGTTCAAATACAGAATTGGAAAGGATTTTGACAATGCAAAACATAACATCTTTTAAATACTTTGGGAAAAGGCAACGTATATCAAGTGATAAGATTATAAAAGCAAACACCAAAAGCCAAGAATCCAAGTTCACAAGAATTGGATAATAAAAAAGGAGACTAGTTGAATGGCAACAAAGAAAAGCAAAGGCATCCTCACTACCACAGAAACCAGAGATATCTTAACTGTTCATAGAACTTAACCAAGATAATTTGCCTGGTTAACAAAGTAAAAGCTCTTTCTTCCCTTCCTCTTTGCTCTTCTAACGTCGCGCTAATTTGGATTCTTATTATGAGATCACCATAATCAATCTTCAAGCTGACTGTTTAGTGTAAAAGTGAACGCCAAAAGCAACACCTAGAATAATCAGAGGAACCAAGAATTGGAGGAGCTTGACGATGAATTCTGTTGTTTTGTCCTGGTTGTAATGAGGCTGCTTTGGAGGAGTGTACTTGACATTTGTTGGTATGGTTGAAGAATCAATATCACCTGCATAATACTCGTCCAACATTGCTCGAGCACTACTGCTGTGACCAACATCCTCAAAATCATCAGTAGCATCCTTTCCTACAAGAAAGAAACAATCGCGAGCTTGTGAACTAGTGTCTTCTACAGCAGAGGCGGATCCAGAATTTTTGAAACTTAAGTGGCTTTTTACGTACTGAAAAGTTATGCTGGATGGATCTTTTTTAAACCACCATTCATATTTTGACCCCGTTAAGGCTCGCCAGAATTTTGAAGCACCAGAAATTATGACGATCACCAGAATATTCAGCCCAACAAACTGTGACAAAATCCTAACCATCACCATAACTGTTGCATGCTTTAACATTCTGGCAACTGAGAAAAATCCTGCCGAGCAAATTCTGGCATGGGTTTTTTTCCCAAACTTCTGTTACCGGGATCAAAATATCAATAATGGCACCGAAGATTCCTATTTCTGTCATTCTCCGTTTTACATATATGTTCCATATCGAAAATATTGGGTTCTGTTAAACCCATAACACATAAGCTACATCCGCCTACATTCTACAGGATTACTCAAGTATACTTTACATATTCAGGATTAGAAAACTTGAATACCAAAATACAGAGTGTTTTCTGTTGGAAGAATTTGTCAAACTATTTTACCTGTTGAAGATAATAAAACGTCATCACCGCCTGGGTGGTCTTCCAAGAACTTCGTCACATTATACACCTGTTCAAATGAAATGCACCATATGAAATGGTTGAGAAACTCGGAAAAGGGAAAAGAAAAGGAGAGTGGATTTTCTAGATTACACTAAATACAGGTATAGCAACCAAAATCTGTAATGAGTCCGCCTTTCTACCTAGAGGCGGACCTATGTTGTAAAGAGAGGGGTCACCGGCACCCAGAAAGCTCGACAAAATTTCATGTATAGATGTATATGTCTTTAAAAAATAGTGATATATTAGTAGTTCACCTTATATACAAAGCAGATTTTCGTTGACTGCAAAAGTGCACCCGCGACCTTCAAATCCTGGGTCCGCACATGTTTCTACCCTTAGTTACTTAAATACCAAAGCTTTTATCTACAGCAGGATTGTAAATCTGAAAATTATATGGAAGTGTTTGCAAAAGAACCTCTTGTAAAAATACCTTAGAGCTTCAATACGGAAATATTCAATTAAGCTAAATGTTGACTGTAGAACCTCAAAATTTAAGACTAAAAACTTTTCAACTCACTACATTTTAAAGATGCAATTCCTCATCCAGAAACAAACAGACAAAAAATGAAGCTTGGCAAATCCATGTAGCTATTCCCACAAAAAACCCAAAAAAACAAAGTCTATGTGGGACTGGCCCCTATGCAGGACAAGTTGCGGGAATCGAAATTGAGATGGTTCGGGCATGTGAAGAGGCGATTCATAGCTGCCCCTGTTAGGAGGTGTGAGTGGTTGACCATGGCAGATCTGAGGAAGAGCAGGGGTAGGCCAAAGAAGTACTAGGGTGAGGTGATTAGGCAGAACATATCATTACTTGAACATATCATTACTTCAGCTTACCGAGGACATGACCCTTGATAGGAAGGTTTGAAGGTCGAGAATTAGGGTCGACGGTTGATAGATAGTCGCGAGTCTCTCCTAAGCTCACCAGTAGTACTAGTACTATTTTTATATTTTCTTATTCTTGGTTCGTTATTATTACATGTTGTGTCATTCGCTTCCGCTACCCTATTATCTTGTTGTTGCAATGGCTTGTTGCTTTATTTTCACAGTTCTTTGAGCCAAGTGTCTATCTAAAACAGCATTTCTATCTTAATAAGGTAGGGGTAAGGTCGGGGTACATATTACCCTCTCCGGACCCTAAGTGTGGGATTGCACTAGTTTTTTTGTTATTGTTATAGTTCACATTTATTCATGAAACACAATCATGCAATTCTCAATAAACAAAACAAGAAAATAACACTAAACAAGAGGAGATCAGCTACACTCTATTTCACCCCCACCCCCTCTTCCCCAACCAAGGAGAACGCAAAACATAAGTGCTAAAGATTAAATCTTTTAAATAAATAAGTGATAAAGATTGAATCTGTAACAGAACCAATTTAAAAAAAGCATAAAAATACAGCAACACAGTTAATTACATTAGTAGAAGAAAACTTTATTACAAAAAAAGATCATGAGATTATTATATATACCTTGCCACTGATAATAAGCCAACAATCCTTGGCATTGTTGTGATTAGAAACCTCAGCTAAAGTGAAGACCTTAGATTGACCACCCATTTATTACACAATTTTTCTAAGAAAATTGAAACGAGGTGAGTGGAGCGGCAGAAAAGTTGTTGGGTTTAATAAAAAGAGAGGGAAGCAGAGGTTTGGTGAGACCTTTATGTTGGGCCATCAAATGTCAAACCAATGATGAGAGAAGTTAGGTGCACGTTATAAAAGTTTGGTTTTTGGCTTTTTCATGGGGTGAGCGTTAGCTACTTCGGTAGGATATTTAAGTAAATATTGTATGGGGCGCCCTATATGGTCGCCCTTTTTTAACTTGTACCCGATTTGTTTTTTCGTTTGCGTCCGTACTCGTTTTTTTGTTAAAAGTGTTTTAGAAAGACGATTTTGCCTTCTTTAATAAAAGACTACTTTCAGCAAAATAGACTGTAGTTTCTGATAAAACTCATGACAAAACTGTAGATTGCAGGACAAAACTTCAGCATGTTTTGGAATGAAGTTTTAGCAAATGAACTAAATAACTTGAGTATGCATTAGCAAAAACTTAAGCATGTTTAGTCTGAAGTCTTAGCAAATGAACTAAAAAGCTTCAGCTTGTTTAGACTGGAGTTTCGGATAAAACTCATGACAAAACTATAGACTGCAGGACAAAACTTCAGCATGTTTTGGTATGAAGTTTTAGCAAATGAACTAAATAACTTCAGCATGCATTAGCAAAAACTCATTAGAAAATTACATACTGCAGGACAAAAACTTAAGCATGTTTAGTCTGAAGTTTTAGCAAATGAACTAAAAAACTTCAGCATATTTAGACTGAAGTTTCGGATAAAACTCATCACAAAACTGCAGATTTCAGCATGTGTTGGTATGGAGTTTTAGCAAATGAACTAAATAACTTCAGCATGCGTCAGCATGAAGTTTTAGCTTAAATGTGAAACAACTTCATGCTATATTAGCATGAAGTTTTAGCTTCAGTGAAACAACTTCATGCTACATTAGCATGACGTTTTAGCTTCAACGTGAAACAACTTCATGCTACATTAGCATGAAGTTTTAGCTTGTATTTGATTAAAACTTCAGACTTCATGGTGAAACACCTTTTTTCTATATCCTTCACGCATTAAATTTGAAGTTTTGAAAAGTTTTTGAAGATGTATAAGTGAAAACTTCATGCTATCCACCAAACAACTTCATGCAAGTGTGATTCTGAAGATGAATCTGGTTCAAGTTTCTGGTTTTTGATAAAGCTGCTGAGAGGAGAGGAGGAGATCTTTTTTCACGAATGAGGTTGCAGATCACGCGATTAATGCGTGATACAAGTTTTATATCTTTTGTCAGGGGTATAATTGTTATATTTTACGAATTTTTTGTCAGCTGGCTACCAAATCAATAATCTTTAAAAATAGGGTATAGGTTAAAAGGTGGCACAAATATAGGATACGGCTGCAAATCCCCCAATATTAAGATATAGGGGTAAGTGTACAGATAGTCATTCTCAGAGATGTTATTTAGAGATTAACCAATACTTATTTTGTCCTAAAATTTTAAACTAAAAATCTTAACTTTAGAACAATTCAGAATATTTTTGTCCTGAAAATTTGAATTGAAAAACTAAAATCCAGGATGCACCGGCTAATTCCTAAATACAACCCTATAAAGTGATTACCTGGTGTTATTTCTATTAAGGAAATACGGTTCGGTATTTCCGTATTCGGTAAATCAATTGTGCATACCAAATATCGTACCAAAGTAGTTCGATACGGTTCGATATTTCTTGTTTGGTTCGATACGATTTCGGTAGCGAACCAAACTAAACTGAAATGATTTTTGCATTAGTATAAAACGTTAAACATAGCTAGCCATAACAGTTTTCAACTTTTCATTTCTTTTAAACAGATGATATCATAAGGTGATTAATCTCTTAAACGAAGACAGATCAAATCAAGCACAAAATGTAGAAACATGTTATGCTTAAGCTTAATAGTTAACACAAATCATATCAATAGTATACTTGTTTAGAAAAGATTAATACCGAACCGATACCAAAATACCAAATTAATTCTGTCTGGGCCAATTTTTTCAATTTTTCGGATTTTATGCTCACCCCTATTTTTCACCCTTTTTCTTTTCGAGGGTAAAAACATTTACAACGAATAGCAACTAAAATTTAAAGTGAAGATACATATCACTTGCGAATAAATTATCTTTGAAAAATATTTAGTTTTTATTTATTGATTTTGTGTATATACCGAGTATGAATAAATTTTACCAATTTCATAATTAATATTGTAAATCAAACATTGATATACAGAGACTAAAGACTAAAGAGTTTGTTCGCTTGATGGTTTGGACTAATCAATCCCAATAGTATTTAGTATATTACAATTTTTGGTTGGCCTGTTAAGATAAAGGGAGAAGGGTCAGAAATATCCCTTTACTTTCAAATATTGTTTACATTTAACTTTCGTTATACTTTCGGCACATAAGTACCCCTACCGTTAGCAAAGTATTCAAATCTACCCCTAATTTAAACGGTGCTCCTATGTGGCAGCAGACCCAGCTATTAAAATGCCACCATTGACGTTATGTGTATCTTTTTTTACTGTGTCCCCCCTCCCCACCCCACCCCCCAACCCCAAAACAAGAAAACCATTAGTCAGTTTTTAAAAAAACGTTTTTTTCCCTATTGATCAATGATTAACCCTTGCATTTGACAGAAATTTGGCTTGGAAAAGTGGTCGTCTGAGTTTCTGACGGGGGAATTGAACTCCCAAAGTAAAACTATGTCAAGGTGTATTTTAAAGCCAACTCAAAGGATATTCGATCTTAAAATGGATTTCTGCGGTTTGATTATTAGTGAATGCAATTTCTCTCATTTTGGGTAATTATAAGCTATAAGCATTTATTTGCTCTATTTTTTCCTTCCACTTCCAAAAGATTGAACCTTTTAAGTTACTTTCTTTTATGTAGTTTGAATAGTCTGCCTCAAAGAATTTGAGTTTCTCCACCTTTTTTTTTTTTTTTTTTTTTTTTTTTTTTTTGCAACATATGAAAGTAGGAAAATGCTCTAAGTTAACAGGAAAGTATAGTGATGCTAAAAGTTAGTGCATTTTTCGTCAAGATTTCTAGTTCCCTTCTTTGGGAACTTCTGGAATAACCTTCTTCGACTTTCATATGGAATTTCGATGTTGTACAATGTTCATATATGCAGTTCACTAGAGAAAGTTAACGGAACATGTTCTCATAATTCCTTCGTTTGAATTAAGATGAAAAATGGGAGGAGCAAAAAAATTTCTTACTTCCAAAATTACACAGTAATGGAGGATGGGGACAAAGAAGAAAGACTTTTTAAAAGGGCATTTTCTTATTTCTTTGAAGAACTAAAAAAAAGGTAATACACACGTGGTATCCACTATGGCATTTTAATAGCAGGGCCCACTGCCACATAGGAGCACCGTTAAGGTTAGGGGTAGATTTGAATACTTTGCTAACGGTAGGGGTACTTATGTCCCAAAAGTATAACGGAGGTTAAATGTAGACAATATTTAAAAGTGGAGGGATATTTCTGACCCTTTTTCCTAAGATAAATTATTGTCAATGCATTAAGTTATGTGAAAATTTGTGTATTATTATATGCAAAATAAGAGTATGTGTATTAACAAGGGGAATAAAACTATTTAAAAATAAAATTCCCATTTAAAATTAGTAATCCATGTATTTAATCTCTTCATTATTAATCGTTATATAACAATGTTTCACTATTGATCCTCGTGTAAACAATTATTGTATTATAATCTTCGTATAACCTAATATGTACGAGTGACATGGATTAAGAAAATTTTTAATCTGGTTGTTGAGTGATGTGATATTTGACTCAGATAAGTTTTACCTAAAAAAAATAAGTTTCACCTACTTGTTAACTTTTTTTATTGATTTCCACTTTCAATATTATTATAGATTTACTGTTTTCTACAGAAATAATCTTATAATTGTACAGTGTATACTGAGCAGTCTATATTAGGCTCAATGGTTGAAATGATGATCAATTGAACCAATAAATAAAGCTCACGTTAAATGCTTAGCTTTTTGGTTAAGTCTGTATCAAGTAAATTTATTCGCGCTTTATTTTTATATCAATTCAATATATTTAAAATATGTTTTTTATAGACATATTTAACATTTAATAATGGTTAACTAACATCCAATTTTACTTTAATGTAACTGCTAAGACTAACTTGTTCAGTGTGAAATAAACATCGAATCAAGTAGGTTTTTTTTGGACAATATCATATTGGTTAAGATTGATATAAAGAAACAACAGGTCAAGGTTGACTAGTTACATAAGCTTAGTCATGCAGAGAACAAAAAGAATCATATGAAATTTTAAGCTTAGTCATGCAGTGAAGATGACTTTGCTTTCTTTGTTGCCATTCAACTAGTCTTCTTTTTTATTATCTAATGTCTCGTGAACTTGGATTCTTGGCTTTTGGTGTTTGCTTTTATAATCTTATCACTTCATATACGTCGCCTTTTTCCAAAGTATGCAAAATATGTTATGTTTTGCATTGTCATGTGCTATATAGCCCACACCATGTGCATACATCTGGGCAACCGAACTCGAGTCGCCAAAAATTTTGCCGGCCCAACAAAAACAACCTAAGGGACAATAGTCATCGTTTCGCCATGCTCATTTTTCGTTTTTTGGCGTTTTAGGGCCATAAAACTGGAATTCCGCCCGATTCCCAGATTTTCGTGTGCACACATGCCATCTGCATGCATCCGGGCAACCGGACCCAAATCGCCTAAAATTTTGTCGGCCCATCAAAAACGACATACGGAACAATAGTCATTGCTTCGCCATGAAGTTCCTCGTTTTTTTGGCATTTTAGGGCCATAAAACTAGAATTCCGGCTGATTCCCAGATTCTCGTGTGTTATACCCCACGCCATTTGCATGCATCTGGGCGACCGGACCCGAATCGCCTAAAATTTTGTCGGCCCATCAAAAATGACACAAGGAAAAATAGTCATCGCTTAGACATGACCATTCTAACTGGAATTTCACCTGATTCCCAAATTTTCGTGTGTTATAGCTCACACCATCTACATCCATCCGGGCGACCAGACCCGAATCGCTTAAAATTTTGTCGACCCATAAAAAAGACCTAAGGAACAATAGTC